CAGAAATATAACAATAGATCTATAAAGATATTTTAAGTGGCCAAAAAGGACGGGATTGGTTAGGTACAATAACACAAACATATTTTAAAAACATGTAATTTTTTATTTTTATATATAAGCCCTTTGCAAATCATGTACACTAAAGTCTTTTTACAAATATAAGCAAAGACATTACACATAAAAAACACTGAAACACAGACCAGATCAGATCCCAAGGGAGGTCTGGTGTTTCTGTAAGATCCGTATCGTTGTTTTATTGTCGGAGGGAACGTAGACGGGGAGAGATGATCCAAGTTCAGGCTGGGAGCTGTAATCGGAGCTCCAACCTAATGGTTTTCACTGCTTGCAGTGTCAATCATTTACATGCGGTTGTTTGCAGTGTATAGATCCCTTTGAAGTGTGCTGTTTTTTGCCCTCCCTCGGGTACATAGGTGGCCTCCCTTCAGCCTTTGTTTGCAATCCTCGTTTTAAAGTGCCAGCTGTGAAATAAAGTTTTGGGTCTTAGCTTGTGTGGCAGTGTTTTATTTTCGGCTCTCTGACTTATAATTGTGAATATTACAATATAAGCTCTGTTATCAGCTCTAATAACAGCTCTATTATCCCAACAAACAATGAAAAATAAATAAATATATTGTGTATTACTAAGTCCGTAAATTTTACACGAATCGTTCAATGATTACTTGGTCATGAATGCTTGAGCTTTAACAAAGAATCGCACACTTGTTGGAAAGTGACGCAAACAGAAGCCAGCGCGAGACCACAGGAGAAGCGGGAGTTGCGCTACAGTCTCGAGCTACAAAAACAGTGATAGTGCGTTAAGTTGAGACAAAGTCCAGCAGTTTTTCAGCTCGAAGCTCTCAGAGCTGTTTTCAGTGAGCTGCTTCTGCTTGTTGAAGCATGACTGAGACAGAGTTATACACGCTGTACAAAGGCGTCTATGTGCCTTCAAGTCTCCATCCGCCCGAGAGCCTCAGGTACTACGAGGAGTTTGCGTTTCGTCCGGATGACATCCTTATTGTAACGTACCCCAAGTCTGGTGAGTGATCGCGGTTCGACTGCAAATGGTTTCTTTTATGCTAAAGAGGGGTTTGTTTCAGTAGGCTGGAAGAGGATTTTTCAACCTGTCGTTTTCTTATTATAAGCAGCAATAACACTATATAATCGTCCTGGCGTTGGTCTAACACGTCGTTTAAAACAAGGATTGCTCTTAGTTTCCATTTTATGCGACCACGTTAATGGTATGTATTTAGCATTAAATTTCATTGTGGGGTTTATTTTAAATGTGGGAACCTTGTTGGAAAGCTCTCATCCCCGACTGTCCGTTGAGTCTCCGGCAGAAACAGGTCTGTCAATGCCCGGCGTCTAAATATATGCAATTCACTCCAAACCGGAGAACCTCATTTCTCTGGATCACCAGTGACCGTCTGCCACAAAGTTATTGACGATGCTTCCATGTGTATTTATGTCTTTGAGTTGACTACAGTCTATAGAAGCAATGTATGAGGGTTATAAAATACATAAATTACCTGTTTTATACACTGT